CCAACCACCTCGATTAGGCTGAGCCGGGCACGGTTGCTAGGCAACCATCATTCATGGACCGGCAATAAATGAATGTTAGTATGAGAATAAAAAAAAAAACGAGGTGGGGAGAAGGAAAGAGAGAGAAAAGGTAAAACGGAGACACAGAGAGGGAAAATAAGACCCTTTCAGGCCACTAAAATAAAAATAGAAATTTAATTAAAACTTAGAACAAGAAAAAATTTTATGTTTTATAGTCTTAATTCTAATTAACTACAGTCAAGGTTGAGAGCTTATCAGGAGGTTTAACACTGACACGTAAAATTACAGCCGGTGGATTTAATATGGAGATGAAGACAACCGACAGAAAGACTGAAAGATCAAGTGTGGGAGGTGAGAAAGTTCCGTTCTTAATAAAATAAGAGACATCTTTACTACAGTCACCCCGCTGAATACTCAGTTTCTATGATACTTGAAGTAACTACAGGTCTGAAGTGAAGGTTTCATTTCTTTAGTGTGCAACACAGTCATCTGAATGTCACAGCTAAAAGCAAGATTTTCACTTTACTGTGAAATGAAGACTTAAAATATGAGGAAAATGTCACATCGACCGGCTGCCATGATTCAAATAGCACTGCCATAGGCAATATCCTATTTCACACACTTAAACTGAATGAAATATGAAAGAACATAGTTAATATATATCAGCTGGCTGTCAGTTCAAATCTTAAGCCTCACTGAGATCCTTTCTTCTAATAAGTGAAGTCATCTTGGAGCAAGACACAAAATGATGAGTCCACTCTAAAACCTGTATTTTGAGTATCACATAAAATCCAAGGTGACTGTTCAAAATGTGCTTCCTTGTGTTGGGGAGCCTTCATAGAAATTTCTGAAATCACTACTACAACATCTCTGCTGTCCATCCGTCTGCACAGAATATTGCCAAATACTGCTTAAGAAGTACGAGGAGGGTGACAGCACAACAGAAGTGGATTATTGACAACCATACACAACCAGTCAAATATACTTAAAGGAAGAATGAGTAGGATTTGTTAGAGGCTGTTTGGAAAACACACCACCCAAAGGTGGCCCCTCCTCCCCGGCGAGGTGGTCAAGCGAGGTGGTGAGTCAATTACGAGACTGAGGCTACATCCACACGTCCAGGTATTCATTTTAAAACGGAGAACTTTTGCCACGTTTGCACCTCCTGTCCAGACTAAAACGGCAAATCTGAAGACCTAAAATGAAGAAGTTTGAAAATGCTGCTGATCACGTTTTTTTTTGTTTTTTTTTACTCTGGGGTAGCGTTTTAGTGCTGACAGGCGAAAGACTTTTAAAGGAGACCTATTATGCTTTTCCACATTTTATGACTTATCTACAATGTTACAATGTTGGATGTTCATGTTAAACATGGACAAAGCTTCATATAATAAGGTTAAAGTAGTAAAGAAATCCCTGTGAGCAAAAACCTCAGATTTCCTCCTGTTTTGAACGCTCTGTTTTGAAATGCTTTTTCTACCAATGGCTCCGTTCTACAACACACGAAGCCAGACGGAGCCGCTGTTCCATATATGGTCATTTTCTCCCACAGCAACAGCACAGCAACGTTCAGTCTGTCTGTTCTGCCCAGCGACAACAACAGCCTGGTAACATGCTTCAGGTCTTGGCCAATCAGAAGACAGTGGGCTTTGAGAGGGGGGGCCTTAAAGAGACAGGAGCATCTACAGCTTGTTTCAGACAGAGGCTGAAATGAACGCCTACGTGAAAAGCCAGTATAAGATATAAAATTACTTTTTTAAACTATGAATCATGAAAAGCTGCCATACAGGAGTCACAGAACTACAATATAGGACTGGAAAAGCAGTTTAATAGGTCTCCTTTAAAACATTTGGCTTCCTGATTGGGACAAGTCATGCAAAGCAAAAACACAAATCTACTGAACGTTTTTTGTTTTGATATTTTGTTTAAAATAAATATGTCGCCATATTTGCTTTGCGCCACAGTCACTTTGTATTCCCGTGTTAATTTCAGTAACAGTTTCACCTCATTGTCGGCTCATGCAAAAACATCTCCGGTGTGGTTCTTCGTCTGCACTAGTACTTTCTTCTTTCGCAGAATCTTCTTCAGCTCTGGAGTAGACAATCTGCTTCCTGTTTATATCGGCATGCCCAGTGTACGTGAACGGCCACTAGATGTCGTTTCAATTCTGAAATGCAGCTCAAAAACTGGTGTGGACGGAGACCGTTCTTGTTTTAAAACACCCACTGCCCAAAGGCTGATGCACAGAAACAAAATAAGAAAATACAGGCAGTCTCTACAAATACAGACACCACCAGACACATCTAGTGACTGTCATTTCACACAAATGTTAAGATTACACAATCAAGGGAATTTTAAGTCAAGTGCATAAAATAAACATAAATGCCATATATCCATAACATATTATTACATTGTTTTCCACCGTTTGAGGCTTGATTGCCAGTCTTTTAATTATGTGACCTTGTTGCGCCCTCTTCTTCTCCAAATGTTTAATGGAATTAGCTCCAACAGCTCAACTTCTAATATTCGCATAATTGTAGTCACTGAAACGCAAATTAATTAGGATTTTCTTTTGCAGAAATTCTGTAAAAACAATTGTGGATGGGAACTAATGTTAGAAATGTTGCAACAAGCAGAAAGTGAATTACGTGGGTGTCCATCCACTAGGTACAACCAAATAAACTGTCTACCTGAGCACAAGGCTCCACTGAAGAAAACATGGAAAATGAGCTTGGATGTCTGGACCTTACTGCTATCGGGCAGGTTCTTTTGTTTCAGCTCATATGAGACCATATTTGATTCCTGAAGCACAACGATGACAGAGAGGCGCCAACAACGGGCCTCTTGATTTATAGCGGAGAGTCTCCCTAGGGCTGCAGCAGTGCGTTCTGGGGAAGGTTACGCTGGATATCATTTACAGACACTCCTCTGCTGCTTCATTGCATTTGTTTAAACCCATTTTAGAATTGTTGTGAAATGTAATCGGACCCAACAGCTGATCTGTCATGAAATATTCCCTGCATCATTATTTATTCGACAAACCATCGACTATTTGTTGCATAAAGTCTTTATCGTTAAAGAGGGGAAACAAAACACCTGTAAAACCTTTATAACCGATATTGTGAGGTTGATGAATTCTGCCGCTTCCATCTAGCTTTACAAATTACATACATTAGCATAAAAATGCCGGAAATATGCTTTGTGCATATTAACATCTGAAAAAGAAATCAATCCGCCTTCTACATTCATTTATTTGAATTACTTATTGTTGGTACATTAGTTGTAGAACAAGCAATTTAAAATAAATCTATGTGCAGCAATTCTTTGTATGCCAATCAATCGTCAACTGAACTGTCATGATTGTGACAACCCTGGGGACAACTTTCATTTTTAATCATTCTTTTAAATCCCCCCATCCACTCAGTTTTCACATTCATCTTCTGAAGGGGGAAAGTTTCTCTGTTCTATATCTAGTGTTGGGGAGCCTTCATAGAAATTTCTGAAATCACTACTACAACATCTCTGCTGTCCATCCGTCTGCACAGAATATTGCCAAATACTGCTTAAGAAGTACGAGGAGGGTGACAGCACAACAGAAGTGGATTATTGACAACCATACACAACCAGTCAAATATACTTAATACTGTATCTATCTCATGCATGAATTATTAAAAACATTATCTAGATTTTTTTAAAGATTCTTTTTCTTACTCAAAATTGGGCTAATATACAAATCCATTTACATTTTTTTACAATATTCTGTTTTGTTTTTAAATTATTTAACTGTCCCTGTATGTGGACACAAACATGCAACAAAGGAGTAAAATGCCCCACCTGACAAAATGGATGTCATGGAAATGTTTTTTATGTCATGTTATGCTATGTGTTTAAGCTCAATAGTTTAAAAATAACAATAAAAAACATATTTTAGGAACAAATAGAGGAAACACACTCGTGGTGGTAATAACGTTAGTTACATGTATACAGAAACCCAGTAGCATTTTGTTATCCTCATCAACATCCAACATGTAACATACACAGTACATAGCTGTAGTTAAAACTGATTTCTTTACATTATGTGAGTATAATACTTATTCTTATTTTGTGTAAAGGCAGTCAAGCAGTCAAAAGTTGCCATTTAATGTTGTAATATGCATGTTTGCATTGTTATTAATGTTCATATTAGGGCTGTCCCCGACAAAGGAAGTTGAATCAGAATTGTCTTAAAAGTCTTGCCTATAGTCGACTGATGGTCGAATCATGTGTATGCTTGTGCACGGCGATTGCGAGTGGCGGGGGGTTACAGGCGTTAGCTCCGATTTAATCTTGAGAAGCCGCAGTCTCTATTTATTAGTCACTGTAACTTACACTGTACATTTCCAGCTAAACTGAGGCTTATTGTTGAAATTTTCTCTCTGCTCGCCTGCCATTCACAGATCTTGTGCAGAGTTTTGCGTGCACGCTGTGCGGCCGACGCACATCGCGGTTCCTCGCGGGTCCATTTCAAGTAACTGTTTAAAAACAAAATAATATTCATTGTGTGGTTTTTCAATGATAATAAATGATCTGAACGTCCCACAGACAGTTGGTTTTTGGTGTATAAAAACTACCTTTTACGCATTAAACTTTAATTTATAAAACATAAACCTGTTAATAAGACTTTACTGTATATACTACTATTTTTTTAATCTTGACTGGTCTCCTTGAAAGAAAGTTTTTTCACAGATATGCCTGAGGCATTTAGCACATGGCCATCACAGTTAGCCATCTTGGATTGACGAGGTCATCAAGCAATAAATATTTGGAAAACAAGAGAGTAACCACACAGTTACGATGTTGCTGTCAATCAACTGACCATGATATAGTAACCCAAAGTGGAGTTAAAATAACATTTGCACATTCATAGATTTTTTCAAAGAAAGAGGAAAGGGAGATTTAATTTCAGGAATATGCAAAATATGTGTGATTAATTATTGACTTACCACAGACAGAGTGCTGGTCATTGGGCCGCCATTCGGACTGTATGCGCCACCATCTTGGTTCAACATAGAAGCTCCATCTTGTCTACCAGGCATACCAGGCATATCCATGCCCTGCAGCTGGTAGGGGTGGTGTGGAGCTGAGCTGGAGGGGGAGTCCAGAGGGTGGTACGGTCCAGAGGGGGAATCGTGGGGGAGATGGGGGGGCAGCATGTGGTCTGGCAGGGTGGGGGGAGTGATGGGTGGGATGTTGAAGTCCTCATCGCCCAAACCACCCATTGAGTATGACTAAAGAGAGACGGAAGGAAAGACAAGATTGGAAAAAAATACTACAAAATACGCACAAAACACTTTTCAAACTTTGTGACTGAATATTCAATCATAGTTGTTTTCCTTCCTGACTCTGCACTGGTGTGGGACATAGTGAAGTTTGGACAAGCTGACATATTGTGATAGAGCTTGGGTGTATGGGTAATGTGACAAGTTCGAGATAATCAATAAGAATTACATAAGAGACCAAAGTGCCATGAAACATTTCTGTCAGAGATAACAGACAGAAGAGATGGAAAACCATCACCATTACCCCAGAATGCGGAATCGAGCCTGAACTACGTCTCTGTGTTGTTGTGTCATGCACTTATTCTTCCTCAGCAAGAGCTCCTATCACAGACTAATTATCACTAATGACATTCCCAGCCTTGAAAGCCTTGTGAGCAAATACTCACTCATTCAGCCACAGAACAACACAATCATTTATATGTAGTGTAAAGTCCCCTTTGCCTGAGAGGATAAACACAAATATATATCACTGCTAATCTGACATGCACAAAAAAAAACCAGTAGCAGTACTGTATATGATAATGAATTACTCTGAGAGCAAAGACAAATGAGAAGGAGACATGAAGAGGGAAATGGAGTGAGAGAATCATGCAAGAGAAGAGTGAAAAGAGAGAGAGAGGCAGTGTTAGAGAAGCCCTCTCATACTAATCTGACAGAGGAGATCTTTTATAGAGACTGACAGCCTTTTCTGCTTGGCTGGCCACACCAGTCTCTCCCTCTCATACTCTTCATCTCTCACCATCCTTCTCCTTCCACCCCTCTTTGGCTCTTCTAATCTCATCCTCGATTTTCTCTTTCATCTCGCTCTCACTCTTTCATTCTCTCACACTTTTTTATACTCTATAATCTCAAACCTACACGCAGTGGTGAGTTATGAGTTGGCCGACTTGTGAGCTGAGTGACGGCTCAGCTGTCAAGTTATACGTAACTGTATATGCTCACCATGTGATTAGTGAGTAAACCACGATTTGAGATGATAGTTTCACCGCTTTAAAATAAAAGGCGGGAAACGGAAAATTAAATATGTGCACTATGAAAAATGATCACTAATAAATTAAATAACCATTATCTCCCATTCCATTCTTAATTCACAAGGATCAAATTTTAATCAGGCATAATTAGTGCAGCAGAGGCACTTTTAGTCTCTAAAAGCTCCAAGCTCCAAAAACACTGACTCCGACACTCCCCATAATGCAACTCAGTAGCATCTTTTACATTCTCAGTGACTAGCATATTGACTTTGACATGTAAAATCTGTGATGTTTTGCTTTCATAACGGGTAAAAGAAACTACAACAGACACCCACTAGGACGTGTAACACTGGCATCTAATTTAAGGACTGTACCCTGCATTATCACTGTTGTCCTCATCCAAGTGTCCAGGGTTTTGCACGTTTTTCAAAGCGCTACACAGCTTCCACATACATCATTACACATACATTGATAGTGATAGACCGACTTTGCCTGCACTCACATGGCCGATCAGGGGCAGATTGGCCGTCGGGAAATTTGGGAACATTCCTGAACAACCGGTCCATTTCAGGCTGGACCAGCCGGTGGTCAACAGTTTTCATTTTTCTGTTTCTTATGTTCAACTCTAAATGATCCGAGACTATGCTGGCCGGCTGCAGCGAACGCTGTCTGTGTCTATCAGACTGGGCCAAATTACTACTTTCAATATTGAGGGGGGATATGGGCGGATGAGGCAGGACCTGATGTGAAGTAATGCACTTATTATAACCAGAGATTATTTATATATGCATTTATGTATAGGCATATAGGCTAAATTATATATTATATATATAATAAACAACAGTTGAAGGAAGATGAGGAGGAACAGAAGGAGCTGTAGGAGGAGGAAGAGAAGCAGCAGGAGGAAAAGGACAATGGAACCAGAAACAGTGACAGGTACAGTGGCCGGGTAGGCAATCATCCATACATAGAATAAAAAAATGGATTATTGTTAGTTATATTTTTTCCTGATGTTCTTCTCATGCATATGTAGCACAATCAGTACAAGTAGAGTCAGGGTCCAGCACAGGGCAGCTGAGCCAGGATAGGCCTACTCAGAGCTGAAGCTGAGGGAATTGATTTTTATGCACACACATGCACACTGCTCTATAATATGGGACTGCATTGTAGTTTATGATTATTTCTAACTATTTCAGCACTTTTTTAGACTGACACAGGCTTGCCTGACCTGGACTTGATCAGTGCGGTCGTGCTTATACAAACTTAAGAGGCAGGTGTCATAAAAGGTTTCTTGAAGGTCTTCATCATAATGAAATTGACTGTATACAAGAATAACACTATATATTAAAATAACTGCAAAAATCTTTCTCCCCCACACGGCGCTCGCATTGAAGGCCCCTCCGTCTCAAAGTCCCGGGCTAAATATCAGTCCCAGTACATCCCTGTGATGCAGGCAGCCTTGCAAGTGAGCTGCTGTGGAACGATGTTAGCTCTCCCCCTTGTGAGCTTTGGGAAGATGGTGAAAAAGTTATTTTGGAGCCCTAAGTCATTAGTCGCTATCATCTTTTCTAAATGTTAACACATTTCTCCCATGCTACATGACAGCTAATCTAATCTAAAACCATTTCTGGCTGCTGTATATAGTTATACTGCAGAGAATAATGCAGTTGAATGACGTCATTTCCCAAAGCACAGTTTCAATTTCATTCATTAATACAAATTCAATCCAAAACAACACGTTACTACTATGACAACATGTATATTAGATTGTACTCTGCCTTGAATAATGGACTTATACATGACTTTTATTTGTTTTGATATCGGCAATATATTTGGGCCATCGGCTGCCCTGCTCTCTAAATATCAACATAGAAAATACCCATATCGTTTTTTTTAGCCCTGACCAACTCCAGTCATCTGGGCAAGTTTATTTGGAATCAGAATCCATACAGTCCCTAACGTGCCTGAATTTAATGCACTGGAATATTTTATTTTAAAAAGCATCAGTCTGAATTCATGTGGTCTGAACTCCCCTAATGTTTAATATTTAATAGCCCATTCCAAGTTGTGCAATTTCATAAAATTCAATAAGCTCAACTTGGAAAGTCAAAACAATCTGGTTGCTCAAATTGGGCTGGTCAGATCGAGATCCTACAATTTAACTTCAAGAAGACATTCAGACTGAATATCCAGGATAACAAGGATAAAGGTGTCACATTCAGTCCGAATGGTGGCACAATGACCAGTGCTCTGTCAGTGGTAAGTGGTCATTCATACATCACACATTGTAATGGTAATATTTAATAAGTGACAGGGAAATGTAAAACATGGTGGTGCATGGCCAGTAGTTGACATTTACACCAATTTAAATATCAAAATATGGCTTAATCATTTATCACTTACAGCCAGGTATAAATGAAGCAGCTGCTTCTATTCTTGTTCAGTCACCCAACAAACTCTCTAGTAATGTTCTACAATCACCAACCCTTATGTTTTCTTCATCTTTTTGTGTGTATCCAACATCACACTTATTACACTGTGTTTATCAGGCACCAACAAACCAACAAGTTCAACAGTCAGTTTCACGGTCTTAGTCTTAAACAAGTGTCCTGTTGGAGCTCAGAGCTCTGCATAAATTACATCACTTGTCTGTTGTCTGTCTGCCTCTAACTCTCTCTCTCTCACTCGCAGCTCTGCTCTCTCTATCAATTCTTCAAGTTTTGCATAAATTACTTCTCTCTCTCTGTGCTCTCTCTCTCTCTCACTCCTCAGCTCTCTCTATCATTTCTTCAAGTTCTGCATAAATTACTTCTCTCTCTCTCTCTGCTCTCCCCATTCATGTCAGTACAATGGCCCATTCCCTGTGCACTGGGGAGCTTCTAGAAGACTAATGTAGTCAGGATTAAGTCCTTTCACACATGTTGTGTTCACATTACACACTTCTCACGACTCCATTTTTCACGACTGTTTCATGCAATATGAAATAGCACATATGTCTGTTGGACATGATGACTAATGTGTGACCATCAACATCAGTTTCTGTGATCAGAATGGTGACTAAATGTGTAAATATTAACTTGTAATGCATGTAGCTGGTATATTTAAATGTTCTGGACAAACTCGTTTAATGTTTTACCTGCATCTGCAATTTCATTTTAGGTGTATAACAAGGTACCTAAAGAAATCTGGGCCAATTTCTCTACATGCTGTAAGCTCTTCCATCTGTGTCTCTTATATTGTGTTACTTTACATACTCACATACAATAGTTGTGGATCTTATTATTTAAATATCTAGAGGAGTAATGTCTGTCCACTTAAAAACCGCAGCTGCAACGATGATCTTCGCACTCTCTTTGTCAGTTTGGTGTCTCTTCTAGGAAAAGGGCATTTTAAATAGACTGTAGATGCTGATTAGCATAAGAGAAAGACAGATATGAATTATTATAAAAGAGTCCCTTTGAGGGCCGTGACACACACTCGCACAGAAGGTACAGTATGCGTTTGATGGATGCCTGATTGAGATCTTTCACTTTCTATTTTCATCACTGTTCTCTGCGATAACAATGTCTGAAGGTGTGCGAGTGTTCGAGAAACAGACAGCGGGCAGCTCATGTTTTATGTATGAAAGAGCAGGAGGGAATATAAAACTCAAACTTTTGCTTTTAATTAGTCAGCATTATAATGCGAGAAAACGTATATGTGAGTGTATATGTATGAAGGTGTGGGTGAGAGTTGGGAGATTCCCTTCAACCATTTTGGTGGCCCCCTTTATCACCCACTCACACAGTTTAATCCTCTGATATGTCGGAATTTTCCTAACTGCGTAGACGGATCAATATACACACCAGTGTCGGGTAAATGTAAATGTGTTCTGTTGCTGATGTTGTTGAGTGTTTACCAGGAATAATTTGAAATCCAGGAATAAATTGTAAGAGAGTAAAGCCCCTTAGTGAGATATTGAATTTCTATGTTCATGTTGGGATTCTGTGTGCGTGGTAAACGTGAAAGGGAGACAAAATCTAAGGTCAAAGCTTCTAATTGGAAACAATCAACCTCTTTCACATGATACGTGATACATACAGATTTTTGAGTCTAGGTTCTCCTCAAGGTTTCTGCCTATTAAAAGGAAGTTTTTCTTTGCCACTGTTGCCAAGTGGTGGGAACTGTTGGCTCTCTGTCAATAATATTACAAAGAGTACAACATAGAACTGTGTAGTGTAATGACATTGAATAACTATGATTTGTGCTTAAATTCAAAGGGAAAGCACAGTTTGGGTTCTGGAGCGGTCATTAAACTGGCTTGTTACTGACTCACAAACTCGCTCAGAGTCAACAGCAGGTCACAGACACTCTACAAGGGACAGCTTGAGACATTAGGTGCGTTCTGCTGACTATCGGCCGACTTGATAGTATAACGTGAGCTGCAGGCAACTGTAGAGGAGGGCGCCATCAAGTCAGACACACTCTACCTGCGTGAGCATACTGTGAGCTGTCATCAATGACTGATCTTGCGAAATTTGCAAAGAAAAATGCCACGAGATCAGGCAAAAGGTTTGTTCTAACTTGTGTGCATCCGGAGAAAAGCAACTGCCTCCTTGCTCCCGCGAGGTGACATGGTGACGTTTCATACTCACCTATTATCAAACCAGTTCAATACATATCACCCTGCGCCACACACAGGAAAGAAAAGTAACTCCTTGCTCACTCATACAGACTGAAAGGGACAATCAATCCAGCTTGTTTTGATTTATGGCCCTGATCCTGATCAAAGTCCTTTATTATTGGGTATCTCAATCCCATACTTATATTTACCTAATTGTTGAATAAATCTGTTTCTATCTGACCCATTGAGGTAAGAGGTGTAGCCTTCTAAATTTGGCACCCGCTACTTGATCCAAATGATGAAGGTCCTGATTTAAAACTATAAAGCTGATAAAGCGTAAATTATTGATATGACATTTAGGAAAGTTTAACTGGAATTCGTTTTTCACCTTTTATTAATTTAGAGGTGGAGTTTCACTTCCACACTCCACTGGAGCAGTTGGGGTTAAGCGCCTTTGCTCAAGGGCAGTTTTCACTTTGCCCACCATGAACTTTTAGGCCACCACGGCTTATGAAACTGACATGAAACGATCCGCTAGAGAGAGCGTGTGTCACCCTGTTGGAGTTGTCGGGACTACACCCAGTGCACTCACGGTTGTACAGCGATGAGTTACAGAGTGATGGTTCTTTTACCTCTGACTGATTGCAGAGAGAACACAAACCCATCAAGTAATAAAATAACTAATACAACACCATTGTATCACACTAAAGCTTCATATACACAAAACAGAAATACAATTCAGCCTGTAACTGGAACACCAAGTGATAACTACTTTTAACAGCTATTTAACACCTACCGTAACAGTTCCAATTTTCAGCACTGCCTGTTCAGACAGAAAATAATCCACCTGCATTACTCATTTTATTCTATTATTGCTTTTGGCCTCTGCAGCCCTTGCCTTCCATTTATCTTTGGATTAATAACATCTTGTTAGGGCTGCCTTCTTAGCATCTTCAATGTAACTAAATGGGGTCACATGATGACGTGAGCAAGTTACAAAAATCAAAAAACTGCAGTTGTAAGCACAAGTGTTAAAGTTGCAGGAGCTTTCACTTTCATTGCCTATAGATGGTGCACACCTGCCTGTTTACATCTGCAGGGCTAAACTGCTGCTAGTGTTACTTTCCTTCCCTGCAGGAGGTGCAGGTCGGGCTAGAACTGCATGTCCTGCCTGCAATGATACTGGCTGATCCTGGCTTTCAGTGCATTTAATCAATATTTTTTTAAATAAACAACACTGTTGAAAGTTGCCTCGGTGTGTGTGTGTGTGTTTGCATTCACCCAAGGCAGACGGTGTGTGTCGGCCATGTGTGTGTCCCTCCTCCAGTGCTGCGAGGGTGGCGTCACCTTGCTGAGAGGGTGAGGGGGCTGTGGCACCCGAAACTGTGGGAAGAATGACAAAGACACACAAAGGTTCAAATGGATGCAGAGGCCAGGGAAAGGTCAGAGGTCAAATGAAAAGGTCACGAAGAGGATCAAGGACAAAGCAAGAGGGAGGGAGAGAGAGCGAGACATTAGCCTTCCCACACACAGGTCCAAATGATGTTTTATCCTTGTTGTGTTGTGTAATATTGCTTTTAGTTTTGCACCAACTAACAGCTACGTCTGAACTGAGTTGGCAGAAAGAACGAGAGAGAAATCAAACAAGCCTCAGAGAGATTTCACAGAGAGAGGGGGCTGTTAATAAATTGCTTGTTCATTCCCTCCACAGCTAATCCCTGATAAGAAAAGGTCACACTGAGGGCTGAACAGCTGCAGTAAAGGAAGAAAGAAAAATATTTTAGTTTTATTATAGTGTATATTTTTCTGTAAGAAGAAGCGTCAACACCACCATCCTGCAACTGGATTCACTTCTATACAGCAACACCTGGAAGCCTCCCAGTGCTGCCACAACCACTGGGCAGCTCTATGAAACTGGGCAGACACTATATATTGATTAAAGGAATAGTCCAATATTTTGGGAAATTTGCTTATTTGCTTTCGTGCCAAGAGTTACATGACAGGATCAATACTACTCTCATATCAGTCCATTATGTCCCTGGAAAGAGGGTCCTGTCCAAGCAACCAGTGGAGGCTGCAGGAAGTCACTGCACACACACATTGTCCAGCTCGTGACTCCGCATCAAAAATTTTACACACCGCAATGTTTTTACAGAAATATTGACATTCATGGTGAATCATAGGGACTTTGGTGAGCCCTGACCTTTTATCGTTGTTATCATTTCAGTTTTGATGGATAGCCATGAAATTTGGTTCAGACATTCAAGTTCCCCTGAGAATGAACTGTAATCACTTTGGTGAACCTCCTATCAGTTCCATCCATCCATCGTCAACTGCTTATCCTGCGTACAGGGTCGCGGGGGGGCTGGAGCCTATCCCAGCTGACATCGGGCAAAAAAAACCTGGACAGGTCGCCAGTCCATCGCAGGGCCACACAACGACTCACACCTAAGGACATTAATTAACCTTTGGACGGTGGGAGGAAGCCGGAGTGAACCCATGCAGACACAGGGAGAACATGCAAACTCCACTCTGAAAGGCCAAGGCAACCGGGGTTTGAACCCACCGACCTTTGTGCTGTGAGGCAACAGTGCTAACCATTGCACTACCGTGCCGCCCGCTGTTTTTAGTTTTAGTGGAAGTGAAACATTTAGCTCATAGCATGACTGTGTTGCTAATATTAATCTTGTTTCGTCTTGCTTTCCATTCAAAGTGGGATTGTACAGAGTAACGGTTGATCTTCTGCTACGTTATGAACCATCCTGACCTCTCAGGTCTAATTTCTGTCCCCAGGGTCAAAAAAAGTCTAAACCTGGAGAAGCAGCGTTCAGTTTTTATTAAGTCCCAGAAAACAGCAGGTCTGCTGAAACTCTCAGTTCTTTTAAATCAAGACTTTTTCTGTCTTTTTCTTATTAATATCTTACACTGCACTGTCCCGTTTTAAACTGTTTTAACTCTTTAAAAACTGAATTAAAAATTCCTTTTTATATTTCCCTATGTTGCTTTAATGTTTTATGTAAAATACTTTGAATTGCCCTGTTGTTGAAATGTGCTATACAAATAAACTTGCCTTGCCTTGTCTATGGCAGCATTTGGAGGACGGGGCCACCTTGTTAAAATAAAGTTTAATCATTTCATTAATTTAAATATTTGGGGAATGTAGAGTTATTTATTCACTTCTGTCAGCCAATCCTTGGTTTTAAAAGATACAAGCTTTCAATCAGCACCTTTGTCACAGTGTGTGTTAAAGACATTATCTTACAGAGTCAAACTGTCTCTTTATAAAGGAAAAAGGATTTGTCACAGAAGACCGAAGTTTACTTAACCCAAGAACACACCTGTAAGATGTGGCTGAATGTGTGAAACCATGTTTTCAGGCTTCTAAACAACAAACCTACACAATACACATATCCGTACAGTACAGATATTGTTGTATTGAGTATTTCTCCCTTTGCCCTCTCTTTCTGTCCCCATCTCCTTGGTTCAGCCTTAACACAGTGACATCCCACTGTTGCTCCATTAACAGTTCAAAAATGACAAGAATGAGGGTCAGACTGGAATAAAATTGGTCACATTCATCACAACAACCTCTGGCTTTATGGGAGAAATGGTACTTCAATAATAAAGCCATAAATTCTTATTCCACACACCACTCCCCATCTTCTTATGGAACAACACTATGAATAAAACATCAAATCATAGATTCCCTATACCACATAATAGTCTCTATAGTGCACTATGAATAATGTACCTCTAGTGGAGTTCGTCATTAATATGGTTAATATGTTTGGTTGTGAGGATTCTGTACTAACAAAAAACACATCTTACTCTCTAGAGGCTTTACTAGGAAACTACATAGTGAAAGCAGTTCCACCCAGAGCCATATAAAACAGTGTTTACTGCATAGTGCTGTTGCTTAGGAATCTAAAAACAGCTGATCTTTAAAACGTTAATCATCGCACTGAGGTGACGTAACAGGACAGCTGTACATACATCATCACCTACCCTTAAACCTACATCTGATTTTATGCAAGGAACGCAATGTTCTCTAGCGGAAATTTCCATCCATCTTTCCACTCACTACACTTCTTATCCTATTTAGCATCTCAGGGGGCCGGAGCTGTAATCAGCACTAATTTGGGACGCTCTGAAAAGTTTCAAGAAAATGTATTTAATAAAAATTATCAGTCGCTTACAGTAAAAAAAATTTCATTTGAAATTCAAGATAGGGCTGCGAATACTGATTTGATTACTGATTAATATAGAGATTATTTTCTTCATTATTTTGTCTATGTAATGTCATAAAATTGGGGGAAAATGCCAATCACACTTTCCCAGAGCTTAAAGTGACTTCTTCAAAAATGCTTTAGTCCAAACAACAATCCAGACTCCAAGATATTCAATTTACTATCACGTCAAACAAAGAAAAGCAAAATAGCCAATGAAACCATTTGCTTTAGCTGTAACTAATTGATTAGTTGATCATTTCAGCTGTGTGTCATTAATGAGTAACTGATTTGATACACTTGCTCTCAGATGATAAACAGAGAACATGATTCAATAAAAGCAGGTTTAATCTCACATGCATCCCAACAACTTTGACCCGGTGCTCAATTGCTTCAACTACTAAACATTTGATGATCCCATCTTGTCAAATGCGAGAATATGCTTTTCTCTTCTGTTTCATATCACTGTTAATTGAATATTGTTGAGTTTTGGACAAAAACAAGATATTTGAAGATGTCACCTCAAAAATTGGTAACTTTAATAGTTCCAGCTTTTGAAATGTGAGAATTTGCTGCTTTCATTGTCTTACATTATAGTAAAGTGAATGTCTTTGGGATTTATACCATTATTGTAGTTATTGTATTATAAACTGGAAAATGAAATCCCTAAAGGTGAGCTCAAAGACACAGCGGTGTGTGATTGAATCATCTTTATGAAAGCATTAACATTAACTGCTCTCACACTGTGTAGCGAAATAACTGTTGTTTAAGAAGGGCAATTCATCAGATTTGGTTTGACAGGCATTCCTCACTGTCAAGTATAAAGCTTCTGATAGCAGGATCCCAACAGAAAGTAGTTTATTAAAGCCTCAGAGATCATATCTAAGGTGTCTTGGTTTGTGTTTTTTCAGAGTCCTGCAGTAATTAATAGCTCAATCCTAACAGATACTGGGAAACAGTTTGCAATTCTTACTTTGCTGTCCATATCAAATGCCTGCAGTAAAGTAAAATGCAATATATGTATAAATAAAAATACAATAAATATATAAATAAATATAAAAGGTGTAAACATCAGACGTTGTTGTAAAAGAAATGTTAACAAATACATACACTTTGTCGTTGTGCAGGCAAATGAATTAAACAGTTAATACAGCGCCTGGTAATGCCAGTGCTAACCAGGCACACACACACGAGTGTTAATATGTTACGTAAGTCACATGACATTAAAGACGTGGTTAACGTTGTGAAGTGGTTTAGGCAACAAAAGCTACTTGGTTAGGTTTGAGAGAATGTTGTGGTTTGGGTTAAAGTAAGTAAATGACCGAAGTCAATAACGTAAGTCATGTGACGGAAGACGGTAACGCTATTTAAGTTAAAACTCTTAATAAATCAGTATTCACGTGGTTTCACATGGTACTCGAATGTTTCTCTTCAAGCGGACTTTGTGCCCATTTTTCATCCGTCTCCCGACTTTGCTACCGTTGTACGGCCACTAAAGGTCGCTGCCACAATAAACGCAAACATGGGTCGTTATAACGTGCTGCACGAATTACCTATATTGTCGTTTTTCTGGTGAGGACAGTCTCTTCCTCCTCTACGACAGTAAACTGAGTATAAATTGTGGACAAAACAAGACATTTGAGGACGTCCCCTTGGGCTTTTCTGACATTTTACAAGCTAAATATATTTTATACAAACAACAGAATTGTAAGAGGAGATGCAGTTTATGCTCATAGAAACAAAAAATAATCAACAGATTAATCGACAATAATCATTAGTTGAATCCTTAGATTGCTGGCAGTCAATACCCATCTGTAAATATTCTGCACACCTGCCATCTATCTGTCATGTTGTGGGATATATGTGTTGTTTATTTGTTTATTTTCGGGTCGTGCATTTCCACAAGATACAGAACATCCACTTCTGTTGGGAAATTTTGTAACACTTAAGTAATTAGTTCACTAGGAAATGTCAGAGAAACAGCTTCACAGGGCACTCACTCTGTCTATGTTTCTCACACACACACACACACATATACACTAACCTGATTGGTCGAGGCAAAGTCAAGGCCTGCGTCTGGCATACTCAGGAACATGGTGTCCCCATCCAGCTGGAGAGAACAAAAAAGCAAGAGCAACAATGTCAACAAACTATAATCAAACACAGCAAACAGAGAGCAGCCAGCAAGGAGACAATACGTGGAGATGGAGGTAACAGATTACGGGGCAGCAGCCAGTATGAACAATCAGTCCACTATCTGTGTGCCATCTCCTTCTGACATCGAAAATCCTGCTAGTCTGAGTGACTCCCCACAAACAGGACAATGACAGTGACAAGTTTGAAGGATATATTGCAGCAAACCAGCTGAAATCACAGACAACCTCGCAGTATAACCTTATCCACACTGAACGACACCGACAGACGGTTAATAAAACATCGTTACACACAGTCTCTACACACTTCTCACAAATAACTGCACATCAGTACGGTTTAATACACTGTTTGGATTTGGATTCATCGCTCCGACACAACAATGGTGACTCTGAATCTGCCTCTCTGATCATGGCTCCTGTCCCCATTCTCGTATCCCTTCAGGATATCGAATTTCAGATTATATGAACGTTTGTTCAGTAGGTTTTAAGTATTACAGTTTTTTTTACAACTGCTTACACACATTTTCAAAACTATGTCTCCTTTTTTCAAAACTCTACACACAATTCCCAAAAATTCTTCCTTCCAATCCTTTCCAATTGAAACACTGCATTCAAAATGAGAAAGCATCCCAAAATTAAGCACTTAAGTCAGATGGCGAATTGTAAATTATTGGATAAACCATTTACACACTGTTGCTCTAAATCTAAAGCTCTTTTGTCTTTTACAGGTTTATGTGCACATTTCCATTCAATGTTCTAGAGTGAAAGTAATCTGCTGAGAGGCGCTGAAAAGTACACTGTAAACACCAATGCAATGTTGAAACAGAAAACTATTTAGTTGGCAAAACATTACTGTTGTAACAGTAGCACAGTGTTGTATCCAGCAGCGTACAAGAAAAGGAACCATAATATAAACCAAAAATATAATTTTTACTTTTATTGCTAAAAATGAATACTTATTTTATAATACTGAACTGCTGAATAACCATTAGATTGTTGCAACCTGTTCTAATTTGTCAAGTTATGGATGCCAATGTAAAGCGACTCAAGTCGGGCTGGACTCTCAGTCTAGCTTCTCTCATTATCAACCTGTGGTTGATCACAAGATCAAAAAGTGTGGACCTGATCTTATCAGTAATAGCTCTCCTTCCTCCTCTTCTTCCTCCTTGAACTTGTCCTCATGGCGTCCCCTGCCTCTCCCTCCTACTCCCCTTTGCTCTCTGTCCATTGTTCAAAACATGTAATCTGACCTTTGACCTATGTATAGGTCTACTGTATACATAAAGCAGTCTAGAACACTGAATGGAAATGTGCACATTAGCCTGTAAAAGACAAAAGAGCTTTAGATTTAGAACAACAGTGTGTAAATGGTATATCCAATAATTTACTAATATGGAAAAAGTGTTTGCCATCTGATGCAAATGCTTCGTTTTGGGATGTGTTTATGACAATTAGAATGCAGTGTTTCATTTTGATGGACATATGAGGCGTTTTGAATTTTGTGTGAGCAGCTGTGGGAATTGTGTGTAGAGTTTTGAAAAAAGGAGACACAGTTTTGAAAATGTGTGTAAGCAGTTGTAAAAAAAAAAAAAAAAAAACTGTAAGCAATTAGTTTGCACAGTGGGTGTGTGACCTGGTGAACAAGTGTAGCATTTTGATTGGTTGTGTTTGGAAAAGAAAAGCAGGTCACTTCCTGTTAGATTTTTGTTGTGTCTTAGGTAGAGAATTGTGTGAAGTGTTTTGAAAAAAACTTTTTTATGCAATTGAAAACTGAGTGAAAGGCTGAGAAATGGCTCCTTGTTTTGGAGATTTGAGATGAGGTTTTGCTCTTTGAGTGAGAGGTTTTAAAAATCGTGTAACGTGTAAAAAAAAAAGTTTGTGTAAGCAGTTGTAAAAAAAAAAAAAAATGTAAATAGGGCACAATAAGTATGTAGTGTGGTGTTTAACTTCCTTATTTTTCTCTCTTATCTGTCCTACAGTTCCTCCTGTAGGGCCTCTTCACTGCACACAGCAGTGAAGAACAAAGGTTTAAATGTCACTGTGCATGTCACAGGTAACCACCAAACAGCTGCTTGTATCACCATGGTATCACATTTTGATTTTAAGTGACTAAAAGCAGGCAGCATTGTCTCCTTCTCATATGATGAAGGTTACTTTTGGTTCACTGTACAATATATACTGTATACATTTCAGTCAATCATTCATTTTTAAATAGCTCTTTCAAAATAAAACCTTTTTTTAATCTCCTATCCTTATAGTATGAAGTAAAGCAGACACACAATTCTTTTTAATACAACAACTTTGTGTGACACAGTTTTCAGATATGCTGTCAATGCATTCACTGTGCTACAAAAAGTGAACTCACCAACAACCCAGCTCCAATGACTCAGGGACAACACTAGTGTGTGAAGACTAGGGCCGCAACTAACAATTATTTTCGATTAATTGATTAGTTGTTTGGTCCATAAAATGTCAGAAAATGGTGAAAAATTTCGGTCACTGTTTCTCACAGCTCAAGATAATGCTCTCAAATGTCTTGTTTTGTCCACAACCCAAAGATATTCAGTTTACTGTCATAGAGGAGGAACAAAACCAGAAAATTTTCACATTTAAGAAACTGAAAAAACTCTAAACAGTTGATTAGTGAATAATTTACTTAATAGTTTCCAACTAATCGTTTAATGAAATAATCGTTGCAGCGCTACTAAAGACCTGGTTTAACAGAGTTAACACCCAGATTGTATTGACAAGATCTCATTATTTTCATAATAAATTAGTCTGACAATTAAATTATATATGATGTATATATATATATATGTATATTATATATTTAACTAATGGTCAAAAACAGAAAGATATTCATTTTACCTTCATATCCGGCAAAGAAGAGCATTACAGTCTCACAAAGTAAAAATGTTGAATGTTGAACGTTGAATGACATCTTGAATCTGAAGTATTGTAATATTTACTGCTGACTGCACCGCAGTTAACCCTCTTCCTTTTAAGTTCATACTTTTACCACAAACACTGTCAAGTGATGTTTGATGTGTAATGAGTGATAAGAAAATAAGAAAATAAAACTAAACTAACACACACATCAATTCAAAAATTGATTTGCAGAATCGTCCTACTAATCTCTTCTGGCTAAAATGCCACTTTAAGCTTAAGAGTAACGTCTGAATGCCTCAAGCAGCTGCTAAATCAATCACAGTTACTTCCACCCAGTAACAAGAATAGACGGCAGCAAGCTGTTCACTGCACACACACACGGCTTCTTTTTTATACTGAACAATTCCGAGTGCAAAGTACTTCTTTGTTATTTGCTTTGTGATCTACGCTATATAACATATAGCACTGCTTACAGAAAGTTAAATAAACAAAGTTACTTTAAAGTAGGGCTGGGCGATATGGTCAAAAATGTTATCACGATAAAAACGTTTCGTATCATTAGATATCCATAATTATAACACTAAATGTCAAATCGTTATTTCTTCCAAGTTTCAAGGCTGATTTTTGCTCCTGAGTGAAAATTGAAGAAACCAGATGGTTAATTATGTGGTTAAACTTTTCTTTATGGTCAGAATGGGACAAACACTTGATGTCAAACAGTGGATCACTTCACAAATATGAGGCAGAACATTCAAAACTATTACGATAAAAAAAAAAAATTAACAAATAGGATTAGTAAATCTTTTTTCAGTCCCTTTTCCTCAACAAAATAAATATTTGAATAGAAATATATAGAACATTTATTATATTGATATTGAGGAAAATTATAATGCGATAACTATCATTATTGTTTTATTGCCCAGCCCTACTTTAAAGTGTACTCAGCATCATCTTCAGCACCAAAGGCAGCTGACATTAACGGTTAAAGCAGTAACGGCTTAGCATTTGTAGCAACACTCCTAACTTCTAAGATCAATCGTTATTGGGAAACAGGGCTTTTAGCAAGAACTCACGATAAAAACAGTCAACTTTAGAGCTAAAACTAACAGTTATTTCATTATAGAAAAATGCATGTGTGTCAAAGAACCTAAAATATTCTAGGATAGGAGATGTCCTCACATATTTAACCAGCTAGTGTTAGGTATTTTTAGTTTATGAAAATTAAACAATTATTTATAACTGTCAAAATGATTAATAAATTAACTATCCTATTCAGTGTTTTAGCTGTAGTCAGATTTAAAGTATACTGGCACTGCTATTGCTAGCTTCAAATATTGTTTCAGCTGCAGTAACCATTACCAATCAAACTCTACATCCCACAGCAGGAAAACAAAACAACAAACAAATTCATCATATTTGAATCCATAAACCATATTCAAATATTTCATGGTATCCTAGGTACACGATCATTGTTTTGGCTGACAAACACACAGAAGAACGTTTGAACAGGTGGGTAGAAGCAAAGCACACACACACACACACACACACAGGTGGACAGGTGGACAGGTGGACAGACAGGTGTAACTGCCCTATCCGTTTCCCAGCTGCTGGGTATTATGCAAATGAGGTATAGGTTTACAGAGTCAACAGAAAGCCAAAACAGTGTTGTGACACACACAGTGTCGCTTATATAATTAACAGTTAATTTTTAATGCTTTACATGGAACATCTCCACGTGTCAGACAATAAACAGAGTAGCAGGAGTGGACGGGATCTTCAGCTGTATGTTTAGTAGTTTGTCTGATCGTCATTCTTCCTCTCTAGGAGCAAACAAGGTTTTTCACACAAAACAGACAAGAGGAAGAGAAAAGCAGACACGCTGACCTCACTGTCAAATCAGCGTCTTCCCTTTATCTTTGACAAGACATGTAGTATATCAGCTACATAGATCACACATGGATGCACACAGACTATAACAGACTATACACGCAGGGACGGAGAAGCAGACACACAATAATACTAACAACTACTCGCCACTGTTTGGTGATCAGCTGATTCGACCATCACA